CATCCCTATATAGGATCCGAACCCGCGGCGGGAGCGCTGCTGCGCTCCCAGCGCCACACTCTCCTGAGTGTGCCACGGGCTCGGCCCACTTCCCATTTCTTTTTTTTTTTTTTTTTTTTTTCCTTTTTTTGACCGGCCGCACTGTGCTCAGCCAGTGAGCGCATTGCACCGGCCATCCCTATATAGGATCCGAACCCGCGGCGGGAGCGCTGCTGCGCTCCCAGCGCCACACTCTCCTGAGTGTGCCACGGGCTCGGCCCACTTCCCATTTCTTGAGTGCAGCATCCCTGCATGTGCAAAAGTAGCTGAGTGCTTTACACACTTGCTCTCATTTGACCCTTACCACATCCTTTATGATCCGTGTTACTGCTCTTATTTTACACATGCAGAAGCTGTGGTTCAGAGAGATTGGGTGACCTGCCAGGTGTCACACAGCATGTGCAATCTGGGGCTGGGCCAGGTAGCTGCCCTATGTTGCTGCATCCCCTGGGACTGAGCTAGAGGACCCAAGAGGATCAAGGTGGCACCGTTATTAGGCCGAACCTAATTGCCACCTCTATAGCTTCAAAAATAAAGCAATAAAGTGAGGGGGGCTTACACATATCAGCAGTTTCCTATGGTTCAAGTAATGTCAATAGCAACTGGCAGGATTCCATGTGGCAGGGACCTTCTGGATTCACCAGACCTCTCTGGGACATCGACTCCATGCCAGGCACTGGGCTAGTCCCCAGGAAACTCTGGGAGCAGGATAGTCCTTGCCCTCAGGCTGTTCAAAGTGGTGCTGAGCTAAGGTGAGCCCAAGCGGCTTTGGAAGCACAGAACAGAAGCTCCAACTTGGGGCATGGGGAACGCCATTCAGAGGGGAGGCGGCCGGTTCCTTGCACCCTTGCAGGCATGAGAGAACCGGCTGGGTTTGCTCACTGTGGTTAAACATGCAGGCTCCAGAGTTCGAATCCTAACTGGGCTGCTTCCTGAGACTCTTTCTAAGGCTCCATCTAATCCTCCTCTGCAGAATGACAGTACTTATCTTAGGGGATTTTTGAAAGGCTCACACTAATGTGGCCATTGACTGGCCTGCTTTGTGGGGACCCCTCTCCACATTACAGGGGGCTTTCCTACAAGCTTCTTGCCTGGGGAAATCCAGCCCACAGGCAGAAGCCTCTGCCCCAACCGAGGGCAGCAACCACCCTCTATGTCTTTAGTTCTCACCTCCATCCTCCCCCCTCCAAGCCTCAGCTCCTGACTTTCCTTTCACTCTGCAGCCCCACACTCCTCCTCTCCACCATCCTTCGGGGCCCGGATAGACCTGATCAGGCCCCATCTCTCTGGATTTTTTCCCAAGCTAGGGCCTGCCACCCTCCATTCCACAGTGACCTCACACACCCATAGTATTGGGCGACAACTGTTTGGTTCTCACACTTATACAGGTCACCCTGGGTTCTCAACCAGCTTGGGTTAGTCACTGTCCAAAGCACGGGAGGGGGTAGGGCGAGTATTACTGCTCCACTTTACGAATAAAGCAATAAAGCGAGGGAGGCTTACAGGGTGAGACGACTAGAAACTTAATTTCCAACTCCCGACCCATGCGGCGTCCTTTAAAGGCAAGGGCACGGCTAGGGCAGGGCGGAGGCCGTGCCCAGGCGACCCCGGCTGTCCCCCCAGCGCGGTTACCGTCTCGGGGCTCGGGCTCGGTGCCGCGGAAGCGGCCGGCGGCGCGGGCGTCCACCACCT